CTTTCCGGTGTGCCGTCCTTGTCCTCTCTCGGCTCCCCCTCCTTCTCTGTGGCCCCCCCCCTCCTTCCCGAATTACACCAATAACAACCACATATGATGATGTCTTCCCTTCCCGATGTCGGCCCCCTGCAGGCCAAGCGCACCCGGGACATGGGTGCCGGTGGGTTCCACGTCGAACATCCTGGACTTCATTGCCGACAAGGTAAAGAGCATGTCGAGCGAGGAGCAGGGGGGACCGGGACGGACCGGGACGGGACGGAGTCAAGCGGGGACAAGGGGTTAAGGGGACTCCGCCCCGCGGAACGATTCGGGAGGGGGTAGGGCGGCGGGGTGGGGAGAGGAAATAGGTATGAGGACGCACCTGTGGTGGAGCACTGTGGAGCACTTTGCTCAGTGCTGGTGCACCCATGCATACGCGCCATACTGCGCAGGTGGCCACCGCCCTCTCTCAGCCCAGTCCCGAGCGGCTGCAGTTCGTGCTGGGAACGGAGGCAGGCATGATCACCTCTATTGTGCGGAAGGTGCAGGGCATGCTGCGAAAGGTGAGAGGGGCCGTCGGGCTTTAATACTGCGGGGTGTTGGGTCCCCCGGGGGTTCGGGGAAGGGGGTTAAACAAACAGAATGGCGGGGGGAGTCCGGGGTCGGCGGCGACAAGGGGGTAAGACGAACCACTGACGGGGGGAGAGAGATGCGAGAGCTAGCCTGGGCGTCTACCTTTAAAATCCTTAAGTTGCGGAGGGTGTTGCGGAGGGGAAGTAGGAAGTATACTGTTCGTTTCGCACATCCCTTTTTTCCCTTCATTTCAACCCCACTTTCCCGCTTCACCCTCTCCTTGTTGCCCGCTCTCTTTCCCTATCGCGTCCGCCTCCTCGTGCTGCTGCTGCTGCTGCTGCTACTGCCGTTCTTGCACCTCAGTCGGGCCGCAATGATGTGGAGGTGGAGATTGTGTTTCCCGTGGCCCCCTCCGCCATCACCACTACCCGCCAGCAAACCAGCTCGGGGCCCGTAGAGCTGCCGGGGGGCCTGGAGGTTGTGCCAGGTGGGAATACCCTATAGGGTGATGACCGAGATATGTTGGTGTGGAGGGGGAAGTGTCCAGTTTGCTTGAACCAAACCCAACAATGTTACTTTGGTACTGTTACTGTGCAGCTGCCTGGTACGGGAATGGGGACGGGAACTGTCCATCTGTCGATCTGTGCGTCGATCTGTGTGGATATGTGTGCATAGGGATGTATGTATGTATGTCACTGTCAAGGGTGATGACTCTCAAGGGGGAAATGTTGGGGAGCGTGCGGGAGGTGCAAATCCGCTTGCCATGCCAAAGTGCTCATTTTTGTTCATTTCCCCTCTCTTTGCCCCTCTTTGCGGGTGGCCAACCCTGCCACATGCGGGCGGGGGATATTTATTAAAAAATTGTACGGTACAGGTCCTGCCTCTGGCGAGGGTTGCAGTCTGGAGGGCGGCTGTGCGGCCTGCCCCTTCATGAAGATGAACACTCTGAGCTCGCTGCTGCGGATCTGCAAGAACATCGGCACGCCGGGTGGGTGCTGGTGACGGCGGGCACCATGGCTGGCTGGCTGTGGCGGGTAATGGTTGGGTGGTAGTGGGTTGCTCCCGCCCACACTCTCCACACTTCCCCAGTAGTGATCAGTGTCACTACTGTATGTTTGTTGTATGTCATGCATGGCTATGCCACCAACGTGGTTGTTTCCCCCTCCTTCCCTTTCCCCCCTTCCCGCAACATGCGCGTGTGTGCGGCGCCCCCAGGCGAGTCTCTGCTGTCCGGGTTCAAGCCCCGCACCTACCAGGACGACGCCCTGGTGGGCGGCAAGACTCTGGCGGCGGCGGGCTGTGTGCCCATACTGCACATGCGGCACTTCCAGAAGCACAAGAGCTTCAGTGAGGAGCTGCTGCGGGACATCACTACGCGGGCGGAGAAGGGGAAATGAGGGGCTCCCCGGCCGGGAAGGGGGAGGAACGGGGGCTGAGGGTTCGTGGCCAAAGAGCAGCGGTGGTGGCGAGCGTGAGGGGGGGAGCGCATAACGGGGTGGAGGGGCGGTGCCGAGTACTGAGCGAGGGGGTGAGTTCTCGGGAGGTAGGAGTGCACAGTCGTGTGTTTTGGGGGCGGAGTTACCCCCCCCCTCGTGCAGGTGGCACAGGGCAGTTCAGCAAGGGGGGGATGAGCAGCGGGAAGAGCAGAGTGTGGAGGCCGGGGGGCCGGGGCTAGGTCCGAGAGCAGTCCTGTCCATTAATCGGTACGTACTTACGTATGTATGTATGTGGGTGTATGTGTATGTGGGTGTACTTGCCCCCACGGTGCTGCGTTATTCACATATTAGGGCGAGGGGGAGATGTGGAGAGAGGTGGTGCGTGCTGTATTTGGATTTAAGGGTTGGACAGAGGTCCTCCAGGGAGGCCTAAATGAAGTGTTACATAAGCACACAGAAATGGTCAGTGGTGCGGGGTAGATTGCAATTGTGATGTGAAAACGAAGATGAGGTGTCGGGGAAAGGAGGGAGAGGCAGATGCCGGGACGTGCGTGTAAGCGATCACCGGGGATGTGTATGTGTGCGTGTGTGTGTGTGTGTGTGGTAGAACTGTACTCGTAATGTTTTCGCATTTCTTTCACCCCTTAACGTGCAAGATAGTACCTTAACTTACCTCATTATCACGGCATGAATTTGGCGGCTGGAGTACTTATACATATACATACATACCACCACTGTAATGAACACGTGGACAGTAGATTGATATCGGGTATCCCAGGAACCCCAACCCGCGATTTGGCGCCTCAGCGCCCGAGATCTGTGCCCGCCATTGATTGATTGATTGATTGCATTGCAGCTTCTGTTTCTTAAGACATTAAACTTGCTTTCGAGGATGTTCTTTGCAGTGGCACAACCCAGCAGGGCGCATTGATTCTCAGACAGACTGACAGACAGACATATGCACCCGCAAACAACCATGTGAGCTTGCGGTAACCCCCCGTGATCATGCTTTGCTCTGTTGTTCGGCGGCTGCCACGGCGAGTGAAAAGGGCATTTCAAGAAGTGTAACACAAATAATACTATTGCTGAGATCCGAGAAACCATCAGCGTGTACGGTCGATACAGTCGATCCATTAATCACACCTCCTCCTCTTCCCTCCTCTTTTTCGAAGACGGTTGGCGACAGGGCCCAGTCTAGTCCTGGGCAGGCATCATTATCCGGGCTAACCCGGGCTCTAGCAACCGCACCACCACCACCACCACCACCACCACCACCACCACCACCACCAATCCTCCGTCCAGATACGCCGGGGGGTACCCCTACACCCCACACGATATCAGGCGCCACACACAGGTTGCGGCTGACCCCACCCGACCCACGGCAGGTCATGCAAGCCATCAGCAAAGCCCTGTCACCCCCAACCCCAAAGTCATCACTAAAGGGGTGCCCCTAAGGGAGACAACCCTTTATCCTCTGGATCCCCTTCCCACATCCCACAGCTACCCCTCGCTCTCCCCTCTCTCCTCTCTCCCCATCTCCTCTGCGCTCTATCTGCCCTCTCTCCCAACCACCTTCTAAGGGAGAAGCCCCTCTTCCACAACAACAACCGCTCTCTTAACGGCGTAAGACCCCGCTACTGAGAACAGGACGTAAAACCGCTGCTAAAACCCGTATAAAACCCCTTGCTAGGGGTAAAGCCCTCTCCTACTTCGCCTTGAGTTCCTCAAGTAGCTGGGTGAGTATCTTGATCAGCTCGGGCCGCAGCACCGCCCTAACCTGGTCCAGCGCTATCGCCTCATCAGCAGCTCGGTCCGGCTGCCGATGCGCCACCTCGGGATGCAGCTCCAGGTCCTCAGGGTCGTCTGAAGAAAAGTTGAGCACCCTGGGTGCCGGGGGGGGGAAGGGAGGGGAGGGAGGGGGGAGGGTGGGTCAGATGACATGTATCCATATGTATATCGTATCCCCATGTCCTGTTCATCCACATCATTGTACTCATATGCAAGAAGTAGGCGGGGTACCAAGGGATATTACTGAGGAGGTAAACATATCAAGTGCTTTCTCAGGTCTAATCAAGAAGGGATTACCTGCAAGACTTCAGGAAGACAGCTCGCTCCCTCCCTCCCTCCCTCCCTCCCCCCCTCCCTCCCTCCCTTCCCCCTCCCTAATTTCCCCCGCCCCCCCCTCGCTTACTTGCAGTGTCCGCGGATTTCAATTGCTCCGGGTCGCGGAACAGCCTTCCAGGCGAGTTGCAACTCGAAATCGAAGCCGCACCTGCATCAGCAGCGACAACGCCATCATCACCAGCACCATCAACAGCATCATCATCACCATCATCACCACCACCAGCAGCAACAACAACAACAACCGCAGGGCCACCAACAACAAAATCAACAGCATTATGTTCGCCAACAGCAGCAGTCGCAGCAGTAGCATACGTGCAATGAGACGTAGCCGGAAAGAAAGACCGGGAGGAACGCGAACATCCCCCCCCCAAGCAGCTCGAGTGGCAGGGCCCCACCGCCTCCTCCCCCTTTCCCCGTCCAGCCCCGCCAGTTCGCACCTCTTCTTCCCCCTCACGATGAAGATGTTGGCCTCCCCCTCGCAGCCGTTCACATCCACCACGGTGACCCCCCCGCCGGGAAGCTCCCTCTCCCGGATCAGCTCCGTCAACCGGGACTTGGCCCAACAGGTCGCTCCCCGCTCCTCGAAGGTACCAGCCTGTGTGCGGCGGGGAGGGGAAAGACGAACCACGAGCGAGTGCGGCGGGGAGGGGAGGGGAGGGAGGGGGTGGGGTATAAAAACACTCGTGTGGTGAGGTGCTGTGGTGTGTGGTGTGGGGGGACTCGCATGCAGCCAGAAGCAAAGGATCGCGACTGCAGGCTGTAACGCCCGAAGCACTAATAAACAGCTGCTGACGGTCAAAGGCAATGACGCGACTGCCCTCAGTCATTTTTTCATGAAAGCTTGTCTCGAGGCAATGGCGCGGGGATGGGGAAGTGGGGAAGGGGGGGTTGGGAAAGGGAGCCAGGGGGGCACACGTTGCCCCCAAGCTGGGTAACAACCCCCCAGGCAACCACCCTTAGTCCCCTGGCCCCAGCCCGACCATGTCTGTTATCTTTCCGGCCGTCTTTCCGGCAATCTGTCTGTCTGTCTGTCTGTCTCACCGCATTCCATGCAGATGCCCCGCTGGCAGCGGCGCTGGCCTGCCGCTCCATTTCCGCCTTCTCCTCCTCCGTGAGCTTCTGTTGGGGGGAAGGTGGTGGAGAGGGAGGCAGGGCCCCCGGCAGCGGTGGGGGGGAGGAGAGCACTGAGGGTTTGGGGTGCGTGTGGGTTGGGTGTAGGGCAGTACGGGACGGGGTTATAGCGGGTGGTAGGTCGGAGTACGTCATATCCCGTCGGGTTGGGGGCCACTAGGGGCCGTGAGGATCTGGACAACAGCGATGGGGGACAAACATACCCTACTCCAGAGGGAACACAAAAGTCTACCATCACCATCACCATCACCATCGCCACCAATATCATCATTACCACCATCACCATCACCATCGCTACTGCTATGCAACGACAGTTGCAATCGGCATTACTAACCCCACCTCCACCAGCTCCATGGGAATTCAACCGAATGCCCTGTGCACTTCACACCCCACCCCCAAACGACCAATTGACGGCCTCCAAATTACCCGGGGCTCCGGCAGTGGCACATCACCACCACCCTTTCCCGCCCAGTAAGAGTAAGACAGGTCTCCCTGCAGAGTAAAAGGCGGGTTGGGGCGGAAAGACGGGCCACGGGTCGAGGGTAGAACTTCTTCGGAGGGGCGACAGGAGGTTGTGAGGAGGGAAGAGGGGAAAGGGACAGTCAATCTGGACCCGCGTGACCCACGTCGGTCGGGGGGAGGGGGGGGGCCGGATATGAGCGTCGAAGCCTGGGGGAGGGATCGCGGTGTGTGTGAGAAAGTGGGGTGTGGATGCCATGTGCGTGGCTTGAAGGTGAACTGAGGTCTGGCTGTATTGTGTAGCAGCCAGGGGGATAGCAGTTGATAAATGCCATTGCAGCAGGTGCGGAGCTAGGCGGCCAAACTCGGAAACAGGGGCAGGACGACGACAGGAGGAAAGGGGCGTTCTCAGGGGAAGAGACGCCAGAGGGGTACCTTAGCCTTCGCTTGCTCCTCTAGCTTGGATTTCTCCTCAGAAGACGCTGGGTGCGCGGCGCCATTCACGCCGTTCAAAGTCTCCATTTTTGGCTTTTGGGCTTTTGTCTGTTGGGGCCGCGGCTGTGATGATGCCGGCGTCTGTGCCGCTGGACTAGACTTTCGTGCCTGAATACGGGCCTTGGACTTGGCAGATCGCGCAGAGGAAGAGGGAACTCGTCCCAGGAGTAGGAAAGGCCGAAGGATGGACCAGGGCGCGAATACGATAGAGTGCAGCAGGGACGCAATGCGCACTAGCATGACGCAATCAGGTATAGTTATGTATGTAATGTGCTAAGTTATCATACTGCGCTCTGTTTGCATGGTGAGAACACATGCATGGAGGACTTGCATGGAAGGCGAAGCTTCGATTGAAACATGCACTGTAACAAAGCAAAGGCGTAACCCGGGATGCTCAGTTGGGCCTTGCGTCGTTACATTGCCCCCCCTTTAGCAATGGACGTCCGCGGCCATTATATCGAGCATTGGAGCCATCCCACCTCACGCATTGTGCGCTGGTTTATCCATTACCCATGATATCGCTTTCTGCGATACCTGCTTGTTGTCAGAATCGAACCACCGACCCGAAGATTTCATCGGAAGTCGTGCGGCCCCGTCTCGATACCATTGTAACAAAGCAAAGGCGTAACCCGGGATGCTCAGTTGGGCCTTGCGTCGTTACATGCACAGCAAACTGAGTTACAAGGAATAACAGTGCAAAGACGAGACTTCGCAACAATGTAAACCATTTGATTTTGCATAAATAATGGGCATTTTTACATCGCGCCTCCAACGTCTTGCCGGCGTTGGTTCCATGGTCACCCGGGATGCTGATGAAGGCATTAAGAAACTTCAAAATAGTAATGCATGTAATAAAACGCAGTGTCTTGAGATAATTGTACTGGGAACAGGAGCTGGCACGACCTACGTGTACTCAAAGCAACCCAGTTCTTCCTTTGTTGTTGTCAAAAAAGGCGAGCCAATTCTGCTGTGCGATGTGGTGAGGACATGTCGACAGGTTGCGGGACTGGGGGTAGATGAATTGCACTCAGGAAACCGTTGATGGCAATTGCCATGGATAACGTCGTCAGGACTCCAGTATCAAAACTTTGAGGACGGATACAACTGCATCGGTAGGAAGGCGAGATATGTGCTCCGGAAATCTAGTTCATCGTAGGCCATAAATCCACGTCCCTCTCCCGGACGCCATCTTTGTTCCCCGAACTCGTGCAACAACAAGCAGTCGAAGCACCCGCCACAAGCAGACCCTGGAATCATCCATGCTATTTCAGGGCTGATCCTCTCCTGCCATTAATTAACTCCGCAACGCCATTCGGGACAGGCACTAGCCCTTGCCAAGTGGCTGCACAACCAGTCGAGCTCCTTCCGCCCTTCCTTTCCTCTCGCTCAGCGTCACAGATTCCCTTTCCCCACCAAGCTGCCTAACAAGCTTGATAACAAACGTGAACGCCTGCTGTCCATTTCCGAAACTCCGTCTGGTAATCCTCCCCCCCACACACACACTTCGCGCATTCCTCCAAACCTGCACCGGGCCCACCCCCGCCCGCCCTCCCGCCCGCCGCCACGGCTTCACAGGGCTATGGGGTAACGGCCGCATGTCTGAAGCTTGTGGGCCGCGTGCCGCCAAACCTTTACGTCAGTCACAACCATGGAGATCATACCGGTAGGAAAACACACCGATAGGGTCAAGCCACCAACCGGCAACCCCTAACAACCAATCGACAACGGTTATCCGTACTCTGTATCTGGGCTCTGGGGCCCATCCGTGGATAACGTGTCAACGTTTATTGCCGAAGCCCCGTGCCCACCAGCAACCGCCAACTGTCAACTGCCAACGCCATCGACTACGCCGATTTTCAGCACTGCACCCTGACACGAAATAGCACGCGAACATGACTGCATTTGCATTTGCGAAACATTACCTCGCCGCAAAAACTTCAGCGCCGACGATGGCACATGGGCATCATGTCCATATGCGCTCGCAACATGGTGGAGCGCTGGGCCTCCTCGCATCTGGGATCTTGTTGCTTGGTTAGTTGGTTAGTTGGTTAGTGGTAGATGGCGGGTAATCACGTTTACCCACCACTACTGCTAGTGCTAGTGCTCGTGATCCTGCTCCTGCTCCTGCTATTGATACCCTACTGCCACTGCTACTGCCGTACTTCCTTTCAACATCAGGCGAGCTACCCGTGGTGTTGGCGGTGGAGAGCACTCGCGCAGCAACGGCAGGGTGTCAGCAACCCCCGCACCTCTACGCTCATGCTGATGTCCTGGCGGAGGTCAGGCAGCACCGGCTTAGAGAGCTCAAATCCACCGGTGAGTAGGTGGGGGGCCCAGCTTGGGGATGAGGCTCTTTCCTCCGGCCTCTGTCGAACTCCCCTTGCACATCCCTTCCTCCGTCCGCCCCCCCTCCCTCCCTGTGACCTTTGACCGCTTTGTTACCCACGTGGCCGTTCAATGGTTGGCAGTTTTCCTGTTGCTAACTGCCAACTGCCAACTGCTAACCCACGATGAGGAGTTCAGGAGTTTAGGATTCGATATTTACCGGGGGGAACCCACGATAGGCAGTTTATTGTGAGGTGCCCAAGTACGGCACACAAGTACGGCGCAGGGTTTTTTTTGGCGTGTTGGCGTTACTTTCTAGAACCTGTTGAAGAACCCCATTGCCCTTCAATGGCCGTTTGGGCCACATGTTGCGTGTTGGCGCAGGCAAGCCGCTGGAGGACTTTGCCGTTTTCCACGATGTGCCCGCCGGTGAAGGGACGACGGCTATTGCGGACAGCGGCCTGGCCATACGTCCCTTCCGATCGCGCCACTCGGAGACATGCTACGGGCTCGTCCTGTACGACGGCGATATGCCCGTACTGGGCTGGACGGTGAGCAGATGCCAAGTACGGCTGCAGCGGGATAGGGTACTTAAGAAGCAGGCTCCTGTCTGGGAATTTCACTGTACGGAGTTAAATTTAGCTTCCTTGTTCGCCTGTTTTGTTGGTAAAATCTCAGGATGCACTTTGAGGATGTCGGATACAGGAACGCGGTGAATTTTGTCTTTTTTTTGAAAGAGGTTTGTTGGAAAAAAGGGGTCGGTGGAAATTTCTCCAGACTGTCTTCCACTACACATTGTCATTATGCCATAATACAACTGGGCGAACATGAATCCGTGCCCCAAAGGGTTACTTCCGGTTACTTCTAATTACTTTCCTTAGCGTTAGGAACGGCCCCGACGACGTACGCACTCACATACTTACATACTTACAAATCCACATGCCTATATACTTTACATGCTCGCGCGGCTGTTATGCACCCGTCACCTCACTACACCCGAATACCTGAACACGGTTCCCGCACCCGGGTCTGAGTGTTCCTTGGGAACCCCGCACACAACGGTGCTTCCTCCCAGGCTGACAGCGGCTTCGACGAAGCGTTGTACGAACAGCTGTCGGTGGCTCCCGTACTGCTGGTGGACGCGAGGGCGAACGGTTCAGAGGAGCACGCCGGTAGGTACGGCACATAAGAGTCTGACTCTGTGTTACTGTACGGGCCGTACACGTGGTCGGGCCTCAATAATTGTGTTATTGAGTTCTCAAAGCAGTGTGCGAGCGGGGGGACGGGGGGACGGGGGCCTAATCCACCGGAACCGGAAGAGTCTCCTCCGGACCCGGCAGTTGGGCCCGGCAGTCCCGCCCTCCACCCACCTCCCCCCTGGGTTGCAACCCACTTGGTCATTAAGGGGTAGCGCTCGCACACGGCACCGGGGGGGAGGAGCTTGGCCTCGGTTGCCTGTCTGGCTGGAAGAGAGCTCTTTCACGTCAGCTGACAGCCGCCGTGTGGCTGCAATTTGCGCAGAAGATATATTAACGCTGTATTCGGGACTGATTTGTTTCTTCTGTCTCTCCAGTTGGTCTCGCTCGCTCGCTGCTACCGCGTGCGGGTGCTGCCGCTGTTCCTCCTTTTTTTGTCGTCATTGATCGTCGTCGTTGATCGCCCTGTTGGTTGGATGTCGTCCCAGGATTTGGTCAGCTGGAGCGGCTAGGTGAGTGGGTGTGGGTGGCCGTACCGGGCCGGGAACTATTGCGTAGAACAGAGGATAAGCCGTGTCCTCCGCTCCTGCAATACAAAAGCACGGTACACTACGGTACGGCACGGCGGTGTTGCGCGATGTTCTCTGCTGTGATATGCTGTGCTGTGATGCGAGGACTTAGGATGGTTAAGGCTCGCCACAGGTAGTTAATACCGTTGATGGAGAGTCCGCAACGAATATTGTGCATCGCGTATTCTACATTTCACGGCGGAATGCCTCTGTCACAATACAGCGCTGCCAACACGGAAGTTGACGGCGCTTCAGCATCATGGGTTCCCGACTGGCGAGTGCAACCACCCCTCTCTCTGCTTTCCCTTCGCAATTGTGACCTTTCGCAGCATCGTTGCCATTCATGGCCGGCAAGGTCGTGTACGTCACAGGGTACGGCAGGCAGGACGAGGAGCCCAAACCCGAGCAAGTACCGCCCGGCATGGCGGTTGCGCGACCCGGCATGCGCATCTATCTGCCACCGTGTGCACAGCGAAGTTAAGATGCTATTTGAGCGACAGATGAGACTAACCAGATGCGACCTTTACACCAGTAGATGTTGATGTTGGCGCCTGTTGCCTACAAAATGTACCTATGTCCGTGTGCCTTTTGCGATATTTTGAAATTGAGCTGTTGCTGAGGGAAACGATCAGCCTTGCTACTGGTGTCTTGCTCAAGAGCATGTAGAATGGCGCGGAAGAATGTCATACGACGGTGTAAAACAGCGCGCAGCAGCGTTCTGGGAGCGGCGCCTTTCATGGGTACTACTTCCATAATTAAGATTGCTCCGCTGGATATGTCTATCCAGCGCATGGAGTATCTATGCTTTTACTCTGGTGGAACTCCTCGGTCCTTGAGGTTGCCAGGCGATGACGGCGGGGTGCCCTCAGCTTGCAAATGGGTTGCTGTTGGACATCGTGGAATCGAGCATGCAATTGATTTCAATAGTTTTTAACATACCGGTGAGCGAAGCTATCTGTTCGTCGCTGTCGCCTGCAATGCCGCATGCCTAAGCGTCGCCCACGACAATGTCTGTATGTCCCAAATATGTACGTTTTCGCTTTTAGCAGTAGGCCCATTTAAATATGTTTCTGGGCACTATCTTCTTGCTTCCAGCTTGGAACAAGCTGACTAGTATTTCGCGGTGGGCCTTACGAACAAGTCCTGTAGGGCCGCGGAAGCACCAAGCAAGTTTCACCCAGTTTTTCCTTTATGCTCATGCGAATATCTTTCAACAAGGCAAGCTTGGACCAGTTACCTTGATCACACAGCAAAGGTGTCTCATGTATCGGTAGTTTTGGGGCCGGTGAGAGGCCGCCCTAGCTGACAGCCCCGCCGGCCCTCACCTTTAGCAGCGTTGTAAATATGGCCGCATTAGCGAAGCTTCAGCAGGTGCAAGCGCAGGAGCTTATAGATGAGTATTTCTCGAAGTGCAGGTGCGGAGGCAGCTATATCAGCTAATTATTTGACATTAAACGGTCTTATATGAAATGGTTAATTATAATCTCTCATAGCCGGAAGCCTAAAAAGTAACCTGTTTTTTGGGGTCGCAGGCTTGCTGAGGAACGGAGAGAGGTGGAGGCGAAAGCAGTAGTAGTAATTCAGGCATTTGCGAGGGGATTTATCATCCGGCGACGATTGCAGCGATTAGCGTGAGTCTCGGGCTCCTGCATGGCGTTGCTCCTCGAGGCAAGCACGATTGCTCCTAGTAAGCGCAGTTGTTTCGTGTGGTCATGCAGACGAACGGCGCTCACGATACAACGTTATTGGCGCGGATATTTGGGACGGTTACGCGCTCGGCTCGCGCTGGAGGCGTACAATCGGACGCTGCGCAGGGCGTATTTCAATGCCATGGCCACCATCATACAGCGCTGGTGGCGGGGATACTACAGCCGAAAGAACATCCACAACTACTATGCGCGGAAGCGATATCTCCAGCAAATCAAGGAGCGCAACCAGCATATACGGGCGGAGCTCAACTTGGAAGCGGAGCGGGCAATCATCATGCAGCGACAGGTCTGCACCTCCGCGCCTCGCATGCCCGTCATTCCCCATCCTCAAATTATGTACGCCAGATAGGCGTGGCAGCTAGCTTGGCGGGGAGCTAGCTAGCTCCTTGCCAAGCTATAGCTCCCACGTGCTGCTGGGCCTAATAAACGGGGATAAACGAGGGTTTTCATAGGAAAGGGAAACCACCGAAGGCGAGGGGGTCGGCCGGGTCCTCCCCGTCCGGATTCCAAATTTACCACGGAAGGCCACGTAAGACGTAACCCGCATGGGGATATAAAGTTGGGTTGAACCCGTTGTCCAGCACCTCACATAGCCCCCAGTGGTTCGCCACCATCAGTTACTAATCCTTGGGGAGTCCTACTACCCAGACAACTTAGGAGCTACAACTCAGGCAACTTGGAAAAACGCCGCTGTGCCTTGTGTATGTATCAGCTTTGTATGCGGATTCCACCAAACGGGAAGTGATAGGCGCGCGATCACAACTGAGGACGGGGCCGGCCTCGACCAGTTAAATGCTCCCTGAAGTACGGCATTACGGCGACACAATGTCGCACAAGCCTTCTTCCGGTCTTGCGCTGTTTGTGCTTTTTTGATGTACTGTAGCCATCTCCGTTTGAGCCCACTGTTTCCCATCGCCCGTTCCATCCGGTCCCGCCGTGCTGCACGAGAATGTTCACTTTAGAGCCATAGTGTATGGTAGGTTGGAGTTTGATAGGGTGGGACAGCCCCGCCAGAGATCGTGATTAAATGCACAGCCAGAGACGAGACGAGGAAGATATCCAGGCCAACGCAAGGCAAGGGAGGAAGGAACTGGGTTTCGGGGGCTGGCCGCACGCACCCTTGAGACGGCGTCCTCGTCGTGGGCTGAAACGCGTGCACGTGACGAGGCACCAGGCACCAGGGGTCGTGCGGTGCCGGCGAGCAGCAGGGCCTCTCCGCCGTCGCCAGCCGGGGACCGCGTGTCGTGAAAGAGGGGGAATGAAAGCGTGCAGTCGCCTTGCCCTGAGTACATGCATCACACGAGCCGTACACAGAACACGTGTAGGAGAGCGCCTCTGCCGTGGGGGCCTTTGCAAGTTGCGGAAGTGGAGGCGGGCCGCCGCCACTGCGCTGCGCCAGTCCCCTGTAATCCTAGCTTGCCCCCTTGCTGCATATGCTTTGTTACGTTCTTGCTCCGCCAACGCCGATATGCCGATGGCGCTCACCGTCGCCGTCACTACCGCCACTACCGCCACCGTCCTCTTTTGCGTTGGGTTAAACCCGCAACGCACCGCGTTCGTCACCCTGATGTGTTTCACCGCCGTGTACCTCTGTACTGTGGGCCTTCGTGGGCCCTTCCGCATCCACCTGTCTTTTCATTAGCTCCCCTCCCCGGCCGGCCGTGTGCGAGGTGCAGTGACGGAGGAGCGGATCGTCCGCTATCTCCTCCCAACGCTCCAATGATGTTCTTCTCCTCTCCTCTCCCCTCTTCTCGTCCGCCTGCTCCTCCTTTGTCCTTCACTTAATCGTCCAATTGTACATATCTCCGTGGTCACGTGTCCTGGTCGGGAGCGCCGCGACGCGCCCCCATGGTCGATCACTGCAATGCCAAGGAAACCCTAGGTGACCCACATCGCGCATACCCGAGACATACTGTGGCTCGACGAGGCTGCACACAAGCAAACACGTGAAGTACTCACCATGCATATTTATCCACCGATATGTGACACGTTTTCTTTCCATCCTGACAACCAACGAACCAACGAACTAACGAACCAACCAACCATTTCATGCGCAGGAAGCGGAGGAGCGCGCACGCAAGCTGTTTGCGGATAAGCTCAGCAAGCTTCACCACCTGGTGTCCACTTCCGTACAGCCTGGCATCTTCAACTCACCGTATAGCATCGCCACCGGCACGCTGCCGGTCATTATGGGCCTTACGGTAGAGGAGCACCTAAAGTCCACAATCAAAGCCCAGCTCGGTTTACAACCGGACGCCTCAGGCGGCGGTCTTTCCGGCGGCAGTAGTCTCGCCGGAAGCGGCAAGTTGCTACCGCCTCTGCGCGGCAGTAGCAAGGGCCGCGTGCGGTCCGGCTCGGCCGGCCGCAGCGGTGGCGGCAGCGGCACGGGGCAGCGTGTGGGGGATGCGCCGTTGTTTCCGGCGATGGTGGAGGTGGCGGGACGGACGGTGCCGGCGCGTTACACGCTGCGTCAAACGGCGGATTTTGAAGCTGTCCATCGTGAGGCGCTCATGGAGGAGAAGATCCACAGAGGGGAGGTGGGTAGCGGCTCTGGCGGTTCGTGGGATGTGGGACGGTGCAGGTTGGAGAGAGCATTACGACACGTGCTTGGAGTTGTGAGGTCAGAAGGGCACAGAAGGGATGCAGGTCCAGGGAGGATGGGAAACAGGTGCTCGGAGAAATCCAATGTGCGGCGTCAGGTGGGGAAGCTAAGTGTGGGTCACAGGAGTATGGGCTAGGGACAAGGACATCAATCCGCGTTTGCCGTCGTCATCATCCTCATCTTCGTCGTCTTTAGCATCAGCATTAGGACCTTGCCCTCGTCCTCACCTCCCTCTGGACGGCCCTTGCCTTGCCTCCGCAGATGCTCTCGCACCACCCTCAGGCGTTTGCGAACGCGCTGGGCGCAGTGAAGGCGCCGTTCTTCGACCTGCAGACCAACCGCAACCTGATACCGTACGACGACCCGTACGACCCAACCGTCGGAATGCGCGGTCCTCGCTTCACGCCCGACCAGCAAGCCATCAGCAAATCCGCATTTAACCGTTACATCAAGCGACAGCACATATTTGATAAGAACATGGCGGCCGAGGCGTATTAGGAAACGGGAGCGCGCAAGGCCGTTGGGAAAGTGAGGAGGGTGGGGAAAAGGGCTCAGGGCCTGTGACTCGCGGCCACCGCCGCTGCCCCACGGGTGTCCGTGGCTGTAGCCGCTACGGGATGGGAGAACCACAGCGCCAAGGCACGCCGTGTTACTGCTGCTACTGCTATTGCTGCTACTGCTGCTGCTGGCCGTGGCAGTGGCGATGGGAGCTGATGGCGTGCAGAGCTGTATGGAGCTGCAGAGTGGGGCCAGGCGAGAGCTTGGTTGCCCCTGAGCTTTGGCTTTTATTGCCGAGCTGTCAGAGGAGGTCTTCGTGGCCTCGAATCAGCCGCCAGAGCTTTCAGTGAGGGACCCAACGGCGCGAAAAGGGGGGAGTGGGGGCGCAGCAACGAGTTAGGTGTGGATGTGCTGGATTGCTGGTGGCAGCGGCCGCGGCGGCTTAGCTGCTCGCAGCGCGCTGGTGTCTAACTCCTGATAGGGCAGCGGCGCAAGAGAGCGAGCCCCCGCTCGGCATCACGGTGAGCTCATAGTGCTCGGCAGGCGCGTTGGGGCATATTGGGCCGTGGCAGCTGAGGCACCGCTTTAGGTGGCGGTGCCGACAGCGGCATCAGGGGCCCTGAAGCGAAACCCTGTCTCCTCCCGGGCCCTGGGACTTGCGCGGGGCTTGGCGCAGGCGCTGCTGCCGTTGGTGGTGATGGTAGTGGTGATGGTGACGGGGGTAGTGCTGATGGTGATTGTCGTGAAGGGGTAGCTAGGGGAAGGAAACTGGGTTTTGGGAAATGGCCATTGGAGTGTTCTGCGAGTGGGCGCAACCCGCAGGGGGTCCCCACTTGGGCCGGTTCGACCATCCATGGAGGATGGTCTGAACGAAGGCAACTGTTGATGTTTCGTGGTTTGGGGATGACGCGGGGATGCATGCATGGTGGGCAAGGTGGGCTCGCTGGGATCACCCGTTCCGATGGGGGGTACTGGGGAGGCGGATTGGAATGGATTGGGCACACATCCGAACACCATGAAGGACGCGCTGGATGATGGTATGGACTTCTGTGTGCGCCAACGGCAGAAACTTTTGCACGGGTGCTTGGGGCCCGGGAGGGCCAGCAGGGGTCATGTGCCGTCGAGCGGTTGCACTTTGAGTCGGATGGAATCCTGAATTTAACTGGAGAGGAGGGAGAAACGGAACGCTGTGTGAGTGTCAGCTACCGCCGGTAATTATTGCCTGTTCCGTGTGTGTGTGTGTGTATGTGTGTGTATGTAGAGGGCGTAGCTCCGTACATTAACCAAGCCGGCATGTGGTATTAGCGACGCGCGTGTGGTGGGACTGGGTGCTTGCGGGCCCCATGTCGTTATGATGCACCGAATGGTGTGGGTGTGCGGCGTCCGGCCATGTCATGCGACCTTGTACGTATGTATGTAACTTGTAAAGTGCGTCCGTGTCGTGTGGATGGTATATTGCATCGATCTGGCAGTTCACAAGCAGGAGCCGTGCATGTGGAACATGTGGTTTGTTGGGTTGCACGTTGTCAGTGGGACGGATGTGCAACGGACGCGTGCGTGAAATGAAAATTGTTACATGGCTTTTCAACATGCCTGATGCGCGTCTCTCTCCCTTCTGCAGCCCCCAAAGGCAGTTTCCTTCCCTAGGGGCCTTTCCCGCCGTACAGGTCGTAGGAGGAGGAGGGGGGCCCAGGAAATGCTGTCTGAGCGAGGCGCCGTGTAAATTTTTAAAGACGGGACGGCTCAAAGGGTCCGGTAATCCTTAATGGGCGGGCTTGGAAATGAGGGATGTCTTCATTCAGGCCTTCGAATCGTCCTGTCATGGCGAGGGCGGGTCAACACAGCATGTCATTGGGGTCAGCAGCCTCCCCACACAGGGGAGGGTGCTCTCTGCTGTGAGAGTTACCGAGTAGGGGGTACCCTTCCCTGCCGTGGCAGCATCGCCATGGAGGGAGAGAAAAGGCGGGAAGTGCTTCCGGTGGCCGGCCGTGTGCCTTAGGGCTCCTCTTTGTTGCCTTCCGCCGGTTGGATGCTCTGTTCGGGAGCAGCGAATCCAAGCCACGGCAGGAGGGAGCAAATGCTGGGGATCCCAGGTGTGGCTCCTGACTCGCCAGCAGAGTGCGTGTCAACGACCTGCTACGTGACTATGCTGCAGGTGGATATGGAACAGCCGAGAGTGGAACAGTGCGCTTCCGTGCCTCAGGCGTTTCCCTTGTGTAAACGCTCTTCTTGGAAATGAGCGTCGCTTCACCGCGGTTCCGCGCCACGCACTTTGGCACCAGCGCATGCAATTCGGCCTGTGCCTATATTCTGGGGCCTCTGTCCCCGGGCCGTTTAGACGTCATAACACGAGAAACTACATTGTGTTTCAAGGATATGTGTTTGCACACGTATCCATCTTTAAAACACCTGATATAATAATGGGAATGACCTCCGGGGCAGTGCACACACGCGATGCCCGCTGTCAATGGCTCCTGCTCTGCTTCGAGTACTGCTTTGCAGTACAGCTACTGCACACACGCTCGGCCACATACCTAGATACGACAGTGCGAAACACGGTCCGTCAACCAACCCATCCGCCGCTCGCGACCCTTGTGGTGGTAGACGGCCTCCTTGGTTTCCTGGGTCCCTTCACTGGGTCAAAAAGGCCCAATGCCACACACTGAATAGCCACATTGAATAGCCACATGTCGGTCTACGCGGTGAAGAGGAAATGCCACAGCCCGAGTGTGGTTAGCTCAGTCAGGATCGCAGCCTTCCTGGACTTCTACTGCACTACTCACTATGCACAACAGAAGGGTTGATGCCGCCACTCCAAAACGTTGCATATTCAGGTAGGTGCAACTCCGGAGTCAGACGCCTAAACAGATCTGGGCTGACCTTTTCCGGCGCCGGAAATGGCGAATGCAAAACACCTTTCCCGCTCTCTGACGTCCGCAACCCCTACCACCTGCACTATCACAGCCTCATCACAACACCGCACCAAAGTCGCGTCCAGTTGAAGCAGTAAACACAACTACCACCTCACGCACAACCACCATCATCTCCCACAGCCACCAGGTGAAAGCTCTGGGGCGCATTATACTACGGTACTTTTCAATCCAATATGGCATGGGGTCAAACCAGGCAAGATTAGGCCGAGTCCCTTCATGTCAATTTTGGGCCAAGCAGCCAGGGCTGGATCATAAAGCATTTCCTCCAGCCCCCCCATGCGGGCCAGCCTTAGCCATTAGTAGTAAATGCCACCCTCCATGACCTCCCACAGCACTCGGGGCACACGTATGGCACACACAACTGCACCAAATGCCATGCGCCACCGTGTCAAGAAGAAGGAGAGCGTCCTCACGGGATTAACATCGACCCGACACGTTATTAGGGCAGCTGCTGGCGCATCCACGAGGCTTAAGTTCCATAAGCCACGCCCGCCCAAACAGCTCCATGCACCTGCGTATCCACGAGCTCAGCTCCGCGGCTCAGGACGTCCCCCGCCTGTCGTCTACTCTAGCCCAATCTCTCTTCGCTTTTCCCCAGCCGCTAAGTTCATTTGGCCTCTAAATGCTCCTGGCAAAACTTCTGAAGCATCGGAACCATTCTGGCAGAGATGTTGGGCATCCTGCGTGGCAGGACAGCCAACAGCGGAGCTTCTGGGAGTGAGTATGGGAGGTCACAAAACCCACAGGCAAAACATTCGCGCGCACGAGAACCCGGCAGCAGAGCTTTCGAAGGCCTTTCTTCCATATAGATTATAAGATTCCTTGCTAGATTTTCTCAGCTGGTCGTGATGGATACTATAGCGCAAGCGGCGCGACTCCTCCAGACGACTGCATAGCTGCCAGGGAACGGCATGTTGACACATGCCCTTCTGCGAGACCACGCGACCGCGACCCATCCATGCACCGACACAGCAGGAGCAAGCCGCTTCCTTCACGCAGCAGGTCTGTATGCAATCACTCAGGTTTTAAGGCTTCGGCAGATGGAAAAACTGGCGCGCACACGCTTACGGAAGGGTAGGAGGGAGAGCGCTGCATCAGGTAACCCATGGCTCAGCACGAACACAGGCTACGACTTACTGGTACGTTATGAGCCCATAGCATGCTTGCCCATCGAGGCCCTTCGCAATCTTGCAGATGGCGCATCCCTCGCTCTCTTCGGGCACAGCGCCCATGGTCCGACCGTAGATGAGGGGTGGGTGGTGGCGATGGACCTGCGCTCGGCAATTAATAGGGATATGAGCCGGCCGTTGAGGCCATACCCTCGTTCATCCCCAGGCTCCAAGCGCCTTGGTATCGTTCTGTACCTCGTATCGTGTCCCTAGCACCACCATGCCATGCTTGATGGCCTCATCGCGGTCGGAGTACAACGCCTCAAGGGGCTTCAGCTCCGATGGCTCGACCTACAAAATGGGCAGCGATCCTCCATTTGTCTCCAGAGCTTTGGTATCGCACGCATTCAATTGGGCTCACGGTGAAGCTAGAAGCTAGCACTGCTCCCTGCTCGTTAAAAAAGAGAAATCGCGAAGCATCCTTAAGAGCAACTTTTGCAGCCTCGGCAATTGAAGCCTGACTCATAGCGTCTTGATGAAAAAGTCCACAAGAGAGCAAAGGATAGGCGGAGAGGCGCGTATTGACCTTTCAATTAAGTTGAAACGATTGATACCTTCAAAAGCTGTGTATAAGCTACCAACTTGTTCGCGTGCTGAGAGTTCCAAGCTGGATGCGACCATCCGTACCGCGGATAGTTCACACTTTCATGCGGCCTGTGGCCCGTCTGCCTCTCCCTAGCCCTTCACCAGGGGCATCAATGGAAGATCATGTTGGACGATTCATCCAGTTTCACGATATTTCGCACGTTCTTGACGCAGGGTTTGCTTTAGATGGGTTATTTCCCGCGCTGGGTCGGCATGTCCCTCCGCCATGGGGACGCACTGCTGTGGCCACACGTCGTTAAGGAAAGACACCTTGAGTACCCTCCACTAAGTTTGGGGGGTTTCAACGATCCCTCAGTCTCGTTGGGTTAGGATTTATTATTTCCCATGCATCCGCGACTGTCGGCAAGCCACGCATGCCAGTGCTACTTGTACGGCGACAATTGTTTTCGGTAATTCTGAGCATCTGCGAGGACGCGGCAATTCAGTAGTCATCATTAGCCAGTGGATCCAATTGCCTCGAGTGCTTGCGGCGAAGGGATCCTGCATAGCTAGTACGGTAAGGAGGATCTTCTCGAGTCGTTGTGGAGAATCCAGCCACGGCAGGGTCCGGGAAGGGTAAGGAGTGCACCCCTGCTTTCCGCGGTGCTCCTAGCAAGCCCCAGCACATGTCTGCATGAATAACCATCCACAGTAAAAAAATGTAATGAGCTAATGCCTGCCTAGAACGAAGGCAAAGAGGGTCTTTCCATAGGCTGGTCGTAAATTTTCGTAGATTTTCCTTAGGGCCGGCCGGGCCCGCCGCACCTCCTTTCTTGGGATTTTTTGCACAAACTGATAATATATATGTAAACGAATGTGTGTATGTAATTTTTGCAGCGCGAAGTGCCCCATGCGAGAAGTTGCCGGACGGCCAATGGAAAGGGAGATTTCCGTAACTTTTCCATTACCCTCGCTAAGAAATTCTTAGCTAGTACATGCTCCCGACCATGTATTAAATTTTCGACCTCGCATAGAGGGTCTTTCCATCGGCCAGCGGCTGGGAAATTTCCTTAACTTCTATAGAAAAGTTAAGAAATTACCTTCATTTCACTTTACACAACTTTTATCAGACGTACGGATTGTAAGAAATTGCTCACTTTGAAGCTACGTTAGCCCTCGAGCACATTAGTACTATTGCTCAGCACGTTTCCGCTCGCATTCCTTGACTCCCCTAGACAATTTCCGCCGGCAAACGCGCAGCGTTGCGCTGGGACGCGACTTGTTAAGGCTTCTATACGGCATTTGATGATGCATTTCATCAAGGACTAGTCCTCAACTCTCCCCCCCCAAGATCACCCGCCGCACTAGCACCCTCTACCCTGCCAGAAGCCACACAGCGACCCTAGGGGGAGGGGGAGGGGGAGCGAACCAACCACCAAACGTGCCGTCGTTTGCATACCGTCCACATCCTCGCACCCTCGCCCTCCTGCGCAACTGCCTCCTCACCTGACTTTG